TTTTCACAGATGATGCATATCTGTTGCCGCAATAACAACAAATACTAAAAACAGAATAAAAAAATGTTTAAGTGATACAACAGTTATATTATGAAGTGGCAGTGGGCAGGCCACATCGCTCGAAGAACTGATGACCGATAAAGTATTAAGAGCAGCTATTTTTTTTTAAATAATTACATTATTTCTAGCCGTGAGCCGCAAAAAATTTACAGAATAGGAACGTTTTGAACTTTGTTTCTAAATAATTCAAATATGCGCTTCAATTTGTGACTCAAAATCACAAGTTTAATGTCCCAGTTGATAGGCTAATGCTACTTATCGATAAATTAATTTGAAGTATGTTATTAGTAGTTAAGAAAGACTAGACATCCCTGTTTTTGAACCATTCAAAGTTATTTTAGTTAGTTTAGGTAGTTTAGTTAGTTGACCAACATTATGCCGATGAGACTGAGACTAAGCTTAATCGCTTATTTTCTAACCATCTTTGTACTTAGTTTATAAGGTAAGGTTATAAAAGATATGATCTTTATGTCTTTTAAGGGGAGTACGAATGGATCCGGTTAACGATTAGAATTGGGACCACCTGAAGTTAATTAGTGGAGAACGGCAACGTTCTTTAATTATTCTTGTGATGCCAACAAGGGAGTTGTTGTGTTTCGGCATCACAAGAAATAGGAGAGAAATCAGGATTACTACATTACGATACCAGGTGCTTTTAGTACATAGTAGTCACACCGCCTCCTAATATGTATGGAAGATTAACTAAAAAAAGTTTTACATAAAGTTTCCATTGGATTTGGATTGGATTTATTGTAAAGCATCATGTAATTCTAGAATAAAATAAGAATGTTATATTCCTTTGTGAAATAAACATGTTCAAGTGGTACAATTGACTATTTTTGGTTTAAAGGAAATTTTAAAATTCGCTCGAGGCTTTCAACTTAATTTCTATAACAAAGATGAAATCTAAACACGAAACCTCGAACATGCAAAAATTTTTAGCAGTAACTTTCGTTATGGGTTGATTAAATTTTGCGCATTTATAATTATTTCCCTTGGCTGTCAAATAAAATAGAATTAACAAGAGTTTATGCATCTCTTAAATTAAGAATTTTGTTAAATTTCGTTCACGTTCCGCCGTTACGTAAAACATGTTTTCATATCTCGTTTCATTCGTTAAGAAAACAAAAGCTGGAAGACAATTCACCCGTTCACGCAAATGTAACCTATTGTCCGTCTATATTTCATACTGACCGAATACCCTGTTATTTTCGTTGAATAGAGATCGGAAGAGGCGTAACCCATTTCCTGGAATTTTACACAATCGCTTTTGAAATTTGTTATATTCCAAATATTTGACATTTTATTACACTTCTTGTGAAACTGTTTTCACATTTTAAAGGGGAAATAGTACAAAAACAAATAATTGTTCTCTTAGAATATCTTTCTTTATGTGAAGTATTTGGCTATATAAACTTTAAAATAATAAAAAGTAGAATTAAATTATGTTTTGTCATCTGAATTTTCTTTTCTCCATAAATATATATTTTATGAGTAGTATAACACGGGAATAAAGCAGTCTTTGGCATTAACGAGAAATTCATACAAAGATTTTATCTTGTAATTATATAATTATATTATTTCCATTACACTTCAGTCAGGTAACGCTTGTGAAATAACATTGTTTTAGAAAGAAAATTTCATACATATTTTTTTTTTGAAGCGATTGCCAGCGGTTTAAGGAACAGAACATGGAGAGTAAAAACTGTGGTTTCTTAGATATAATTTACGTTCTTGTAAAACACAAACATTTTAAAATTTTAAAATATACCTTTATTTCCTTTGAATTATTTTAATAATAAGCATTCTGCACGTATTTTGGAATTGGCATGAAAACTTTGGATACTTGAAATTTTGTTAAACTTTAACAGAAAGCTTAAATATAAACCGGCTCACTGTACAACTTACGAGTTATAACATTTGGCATGCGTGTTGGCAACATCGCTACAATAAGATGTTACCTAACCTCGACCTTATTTTATTTCGTATTTGACTTTCGTCCTACATAGCGTCACAGAAACTGTGGATATATTTAATATCTTTAATTCCAACTTTTTTTTCAGACGGAGGCTATCCTCATAGAAGAAGTCTTTCCCGAAAATGAAGATATTAAGCCATCACAAGAGCAATCACATTCAACTGCAAGGTATATTAGCCTAGTAAAACGATTATATGAAAATATATCAATTGCAAAACTCATTAAACTTAATGTGTTTAAAAGCTAAGTGAACTTAGGAATAGGACCCACCCACCCTTGCTCATGAGTAAAATATCGAACATATTGTTGCAGTGATTAATAAAAAATTAATACATTTTTCGACACTTAAACTTTTTGCACAATCGTAGATAATCAATCATCACAATAAGTTTACGTCTTAATTTGTCGCGGCATGTTTCGAAGATTCACAAAAAGATTTTCTTTATTATATTTTAACATAACTAAAATCTCAACAATTGGCCTAGTTACAGCTGATCGTAAACTTTTAAATTTTAAATATTAAAATTTTATTCTTTTAGTCATAAATCGTTTTTTTAGCCTTCGTTTATCGCGCTTACCAAGATGTTTATAGTCAGTAGAAATAATCAATTAAAAATTTATAATAAAAAGTATTGATGGCATTAAATTATATAATGTTTTCGACGATCTGATAGGCGTACTGGATAGTAAATCTCAAATCTCTGGCGCCAGAGAGTGTCGGTTCGATATACACTATTCGAAAAAATATTGTATCATGGACATTGTGTTTTTCCAGTGTCTGTTATGTTATGTTATGTTTATTATGTGTATAATTTTACGAAAGAAAAGTATATTTATTGGTTATTTAGTTCCCACAGTACAAGCGTTGCTTAGTTTGAGACTAGGAATTGCTGTGTAAAACTGAAATATTTATTTTAAAAATAATAATTCAATTTGTCGTTAAATTTGTCAACGAATGCTGTTGTAATAATATTTCTTGTTTCTCATGCCCTCGTACCTAATACCGTAAGCGTGCAGCTTGGGCTTTCTAGGTTAACGACTGGGGCCATTGAGGTGTGGGGAAACGAATCTAAATTAGGATATATAGACAATAAAGCTTAAAAGTACTGATTTAATTGTAGTATACAAAAAAGTATTTTATGTGATTTTCCTACTGTCTCTTCAATGCGTATTGTCCCCACACAATTTATAGACATTATTTAAGTTTGAATTGGTTAGCTTTTATACATTTACACAAATAAAATAACTTTAACTTAACATCTTAAATAAATTTATTTTTCATCATCAATGTAGTTTATCACTTAAAATAAAAACCTCATGTTTGTAATTTTGTCTCTTGTAACTTGAATGCAAAATATCTATGTTTTAAAATAAAAGTTGAACCAAATGTTAAAGCGTAAAAGCGGCTCTATTAAATATTTTCATTTGCTTTCATGACAAAGTCAGCCACGGCACCGCGTTGGAAGCGTTCGAACTTTCAGCTGAAGGGACTTCAGCTGAAAATTCATTAGGGCTTATCAAAGGTGTTGTTATTAGAATGACAAAGCGCCGTTTAGCCGAAACGTGAGGCAGACGAAGCGGCTACGACGGAGATAAGGCACGACTTTCACTATCGGAGAGATTGCTTTTTATCCACGTGACTCGACCTCGGCCACCCGAGCGCGCTTACCTACATTCATCGTGTTTCTAAATCCTACGACGTACAATACTACGCAGTACTTCGCTCGCGTTATATACGACTTGTGTTAATTCAGTGGAAAAAATTGTATGTTTTATCTCATTTTTAAACGAGGGCTTTCACTCGATTTCTACAAACTGCTGACGAGGAGACTGCAGTTTTATTTAAGCTGGAAGCAAATTGGATTAAGTGCTTTTCAGACAAGTATAACTGCTTCAGTTCCGATTAAATTTTATAGTTTTTTGTTTAAATCCAGATTGAGCTCGAGCGTTTGTAAATGTTGCAAGATATCTAAGCGTAAAAAGGAATGATTCAACAAAGAAATGTTAACGTGTAATGAATTGAAATAAAACGTATACCTACATATTTTTAGACGTGCAAATACGCCCCAGACTAAACATAATATGTTGATGTGGAATGCATATATGCATGGAAAAAGTATGTTTTTAGCTAGGTGCGTGTATTAATGAATGTGTATATTACCGTGAATTATTGGTTAATTTGAATGAGGTTAATTTTGTATAAAAAATAAAATTTAATTTTGACTCTGCGGGTGTTACATATTGTAAAAAAAAATTATTAAATTTTTCAATATCTCTCAATTAATATGCTATATTTACTGGTGTTATAGAACAGGATAAGCCTGTATCTATCTCATATAAAGCTGTTTCGGCACGAACTGAACCAAAAAAAAAGGAACACGATTTATCTATACACTCACATTAAATTTTTGTAATTTGTTTGTGTATACATATGCATTTAGGTAAACGAGGTCGTAATGTAATTTAATGGTAAAATTACTACGAAAGTATGTAATCATTGCTTATTTCCAGTAGATGTTAGCAAGCTTTGTTTGTGTTATTTGTAAGGGATACCTTTCTAACTAACGTTTTATAACTAGCTGTATCAAGCTGTCTGAAGTTTCATGATGAAACTTATTATCTAGGGAGCGAAAGCAAAATTTTAGAGTAAAATAACAACACTATTTAATTAAATATGAATGTAAACCTTTAAAGGTACTTTGCAGTAATAACATCGTCCGCTAAATATGTTCCTTCAAAAACTTTCATTTTTTTAAATTGCCAGAACAGAGGGTTTGCGCTTAGCGCGGACCTCATTAAAACCACCGTCGATATCAAAACAGATTGATCGATCAGAAAACAATTTGAATTCGATCGAAATACCATTAGGGCGTCCCGATGGAATCATGAAATGGCTCGCCATATTGCACTGTGATAAGTAGTTTTATTTAAAACGTTCACGGATCGCGTGTTAAATGCTAGCATGGCGTTTGTGGCAGTGTTCGCGGCATGGCGTGCGGCGTGGCGGTATCTACGGAACACGCGAGCACTGCACAATGCAGCTACGGCCGCCTCTACGCCACAATTCAGCTTGCACGTCACGCCGGTATCGCACTTCCGGGGTTGCTACGAACACGTTAGTTCGGCTACGGGCCAACGTAAATATGCAGAAAGGGTTAATGGCCTCGCTAATTATTTTAAACCGCCACAGCAGGTGTTCGACGCGCCCAATGTTAACCTCACAATAAAGCAAACTACGCATACCAACTGCGATTAAAATACATTATACAGGTTTTTGGGCCAATTTTACTTTGCTACACTTTGTTTATTTTATAGCTGTTAAACAGGACGGCAGTTTATTATATTGGACAAACAGATATCAAATCGACAATGCATTAATGTTTCATATTTTTTCAAATCTGCGTTAAATTTAAATACTTTTTTTACCAGTCCCTTCAATTCATGATAGGTCATTATTTTTCTGTCAAGGAATATTACTTCATTTTCCGAAGTATGTTACATAACGTAATAATTTCTTGTATTTACGCGATTACACGTTACTAAATGAAACTACATTCACTGATTTATCGCGTTTTGGTTACATAATGATTGTTTTCAAACTGAAATTTAAATTAATCAAGTTTCATTTGAATTATACAAAGTGAGCAATATTTTAAATTAATACTTTATGCATCATATATGATACTTACGTCTGCTATATGATAAAAACTATGAAATTTTGTTGCGGCCGTATATAAGTGAATTATATGATAATGATTCCCTTAACATTATTCGCCGACTTATCGACGGTCCGTTTTGTTTTTGCATGGAACATATAACATATAAACAGTGTTTCTAATTCTAAGTCTGATCAGCTAATGTCGGATTCTAAACATTTTTCTTTGGAATCCGACATTAGCTAATCGGTGATGGTCCACAGAGAGGACAGATCCCACTTAGAGACAGCGTCATCGAAGGTGCTTTTCGTCACAGCTCTCTAGACCTTAATGATATTCCTCTACCGTAAATGGGGTTTCAATGGTTGCGGGCGGCTCTGAGAGAGCTGGTGGCTTGTAGTGTTCCCGAATCATCACGGTAGCACCGCAGGGTTGCTGAGGGTTACACTTGTCGATAGTGCTACCCAGGGTCACACTAGTCGAATGAAGAGGGGCAGCGGTTGTGTTCCGAATGGAGATTCCCTGACCTCTCAACCAAGATGATGGCGACCACCATGCTGGTTTTAGTCGGTGCGAGTCCGACATAACCTGATTGTTTATCATGGAGAGCCAGATATCCATAACGGATTTCCACACGGAAAAACAGCTAGGCTAAGGGGTCGTCATCTTCACTGCGAGAAATTCCCGACTTTGTTCTTATTGCATTTGTTGCAATGCTTGGCCTTATCTTATGTGATTCTTTAACGTGCAAGGATCAAGATATGAAAGTCACTAGGATCCGTCTCAAATGTGGCAGTGAAAAAAAACCAGAAAATTAGTTAATATGGAATGTTAATGCAATCGGGTTTTTTTGTTTCATTTTTTTAGTAATTTATGTTTGTGCATATTTATTTAAATTGATATAATTAAATTATTCTAGTTCTTATTTCAATTTTTACTAATGTGATTTCCATTGTACATAGGATAATAAACAGTTTTACTGTTTGCTAAGTCAATGCGATATGGATGTTTGTAAATGAAACTACATGGTTTAACATCACAAAGCGGCTTAATTTGCACCATTAGGGGCTAAGAAGAACAAACACAGACAGATCGTGTGATTAATAACCATCCCTTGGTTTAGTGTACAGTATTATGTTTCAATTTGTTTGTCATTTGCGTAACATCAACAATCCAAGGGCTGGTTAATTCATATTCATTGAATGGGGATTACTTGGCCTTTGCCTTTCGGCGACCGGACGCTAGGTACACTCCAGATAATCGCATTATTATATCCCTCTCAGTATTATAAAACTATAAATAGAATGAAGAAATGTCGTGCCGTGACCTCTACGTCTTACTTTTATTTCGACGGCCAATAAAAATGTTGTGACTTTATTGGCATATACATGACGACGAAAGAATATTACTTTGTTTATTTTTTATAGTAGTAGTAGTTTTCTACTGTGGTAAGACTACGTAACTTAAAATCTTTGCTGTGCCACGAAAGTTTCGTTCGGGTAGGTATCACGAACTCACAGGAGACTGGCGTGAAGTAGAAGTGTTATACTTCTGCGTTTCGTCTGGCGCCATATGTGTTTATGTGCCATGGTGTTTTAATATGCCATTTATTTTATTTTGAATGTGGTCTGTGAGGTAGCCGGAGACCACTATAATAAAAAGTGGCAGAGCATCTGTACTGTAACACTACGGGTGTTGCAAATGTCAATAGGCGGCGGTTATCATATAACAGCAGATGGACCGCCAGCGTTTGCCACCTTCTCACATAAAAACAGCAGTAATTTACAATTCCAATTTCTTTTACCAAGGCTACATAATCTCTTCTCAGAAACTGTTTTTTTTTAATTTTAGCCTCAAATTATTTAATGATTTTAACAATCAAAAATGCTGCGACTATTTATACTCAACCGAACGCAACATAAATAATTGCAGGGATACTTTTGAATTAACTTCTAAGTAAGAAATATAATAATGGCAATTTCTTCATTAATTCTTATCCCACCTAGGTGGAGTCGGCACAACATTTGAAAAGGTTGTTAGGGGTACTACTGGCTAGGTTTTTTATGACCGGACGCCTGCCTGACTTCTGTACTCCTTGGGCAAAACACCCAGATCCGAAAAAAATATCCCCATACCCACTAGACCCCCAAGGAGAATTTTAGCAAAAATTAATGATTGCAAACTGTCTTATCAATTTATATATAAAATTCAAGCGTACCGTAATCCGCTAGCGATATAACGATTGCGACAGCCATATACGAGGATTTAATGAGATAATTACAAGTCGAATCAAAGTGTAAACATGATCGGGATCAATTTACGAGTGAGTACAGTGTAGGCTTTATCTTTTAATTTGCGAGCCTTTTCGGTGTCACCCTATATAACTTGCGCGTGTTTATGGTTGAGTGTAATTCTCTCCTATACTGTTATTATCGGAAGGCAAAATACTCAACGATGTAAGGGAATTATAGTCTGTCCTTGATCTTTTGTTACCATTATGTGAAAATTCGATAGGCGGAAAGTGCCTCAGTGTTCAGCGAAGAATTGGCAATTCGGAATGATATGAGTGCGAATCTGTTTATAGCATAGTTGATCTTCAAGTATTTTATTAGATAATGACTAGGAATTTACGCTTGACAAAACATTTCTTCAACATATTACTAGTGATAGTAAAAAATTATTTTTGTATTCTTGGACAATTTTGGCGGACAATTTTTATGCTATTATGAGTGACTGCAAGTCAATAAAAGAAAATGAAATAATATAATTTCTTAATAATTATGTTGTAAGCCTACGGGTGTTTGAAATGTCCATGTGTTATTAACTAAATATCAAGAGAACCGCCAGCTCACTTGCTTCTTTATATAAAAAATATCTAGAATATAATAGAGAGGGTCAGTTGTTTTTATATTAGTCTCATAAGCTAAGTACAAACTTCACATGGCTTTTAATTTTAATTTTAGTTAGTGTCAAATCTAAACGATATCGCAAAGTTTCAACAGAAAGTTTTCCTAGTAAAACAATTTTTATTTATCTAATATGAACAAGATTAGATCTATCTCAAATTACATATTATCTAATAAACCTAATCCGCGCGGCATGGTGCCAAGAACGCTACCTGTATTTTTTTGCTGAATAGTTATGCTTAACCTTTGATCGAGAAAAGAACCAGCCCTCTTGTCACCAGCCGCGGCGTTAAACGTAGGACATAAATCTTTAAAAAAAAATATGTGCGGTGTGAATACCCCACAGACTCAAAGTTTCAAAAGCAAATTTAAAAAAATAAGAAAATTATATGAATATGGAGCAGCTCAGCACATATTGTACACTATATAGAAAATAAATTCGTGGCAGTTTCGTAAAACAGCGAGGATAGGAAGTTGCACGGGCGATATTAAAGTGGTGGCTGTTTCATATTATGGATGGTAAAGAACCTTGTTACTAGAATTTACGATTGCTTACGTGGTTGAGGAATGAGTTTACTTGACGTTTATCGTGCAAGACTCTGCGGTTTGTTATTATTTAAATAAAACATCTACGTACGTGACTCGGATGTAGTCTACGTGGCTTGACGTAATCGCTCATATAATTTGTATGAAATGAAACATTTTGATATCATTTATATGCGACCTATTTTTGTGTACAAAAGTGTATAAAATGCCGAAAGCCGAAATCATAATTATTTTCTTTTTAGTTTGAAATAATATACAAATATAAGATGTCCTCAACATCTCGAATTACTGTATTTATTATTTCCAGAAATTCGAAGTTCACATCATTTAAAATACCGTTTATTTTTAAAGTGACTTTGGGTTTTTCACACTAATTGAGAAAATATTGTATTATAAATTGAATTATGTTCAATGTATAAAAACTGGTTTATCTAATGCTCGATGTTATTGCTCTTTCAGGTATTGTGTGCTCTACTTTCACTTATGCTACTTGATTGTAGCAGGGTTAGATCTACTAATATAAGAGTTGTGATAGCTCAGTATCCGGACGCTCGCGATTAATTCAATATACTCGAGCAACCTGAGTTCGATCCCCGGTGCCGGCACCAATGAATTGTTGAATTATCACGTGCTCAGCGGTGAAGGAAAACATCGTGAAATAATGTCGAAGATATGTGAATTCCACAAATCCGCAGTGGGGCCGCGTGGTGGACTATGTCCTGATACCCTCTGTACAGAGGAGGCCTTTGTCCAGAGGTGGGATATGTATGGGCTAATAATTTACTTTAGATCTACAATATAAGCAAACGACCTATTAATGCTAATAGCATGCCAATGACAAAAAAGTATTCAAAACAGATATAAGGATAGAAGACCTTAATGTGTTATTGAATACGAAGTAAGGTACTACTACTGCACCTTTTTAAAAGACTAAGTACTGACTCTCAAGGTTCTTATCACGATTATTTTTAAATTAAGTTCCTGATGTTTCGAATACTTTACAGCAGTAATTATCATGAGATCATATTTACCGAGAAAAAAAGCCTCCGTTAATTACATAAAACGTTTGAAAATTTGCATAAGAAACACAGGAAACTAAAACTGGTTTGCCAAGGGAATAACGATAAATGAAGGGAAAATATATAAGTCGACAACGTTGACTCGGGGGCTAAATTTAATTTGTTTCTCGGAGAGTGCCTCTTAGGCGTCGCTCTAAAGCTTACTTGGCGGACTGTGGGCACTTTTCTTTCAAATCTGAATGGAATTATATTTTTAACACAAAAGAAGTTAAAACATTTATCTAAATTAGTAAATTTTTTTCTTTTTTCCTCGTACATATTTTCTTGCATTCATAAATAATGCCAGAAAGTTACTGTTCCTACTTAATAAAATTATTTTTTGATGAAACATATCGCAGGTTATTGCTTACATTTATTTATATTATATTATTATATTATTATACTTTAACCTTATGTTGTATAGCATTTTGGCGAAATGTTATTAGATTGTTACTTAAATTGTTTAGAATCATTTTCCATTTATATAATATTGGTTAGTCAGCCGAAAATATAATATATATGTCTATGTACTTATACGGTGCTGACCAATAATCTGTTAGTATTGGTATAGAGTCCAATAATGTGTTAGTGTACATACATACGTGTAAGTGGACATAAAGATTAAAAGATACAAAGATTCTTCATTATCTCATCTCTATCTACTTTAAAAAGTAGCACAAAAGATACAGTCTATTCTTAAAATAGTTTGCACAATCCTAAAACATAGTATAAGTTTGTGATAAATACTTTTGTTGAATTAACTTTTCGAAAATTTCATCGAACACTAAGACCATGAGTTACATGAGTGATGATCAATGAGATAACATTGGAAATCTTTTTATTGCCACTATATTATTTTTTATTTTACGTTCTTATATAGCAAACGTTAACGTGGATTCGTGGACAAATTTTACGCTGGGAAAATAACGAGGCCTAATATTTGCAAGGACGATTGTTACTCCGATGCTCTATTATCGTGAAAAGCGCGGCGAAACGAAGCGTTTTTTTTAATTATAAAATACCTGTTGCTTGCTGAATAATGACACGTAAACATTTGATAAATAAAACATTTTTGTTAGTATGGTCAACCAAGGGCGGATCCAGCTTTGGT